TTGATAAATTTAGGGTAGCCACATTCTTTAGGTTCTCAGGTTTCATGTAATTTTGGCAAATCTGCTTCAACATCTTTTCAGAGTACCGAGCAATGACTTGCACAATTCGACGGGTCCTACGAGAAGAATACGATCTCGCCGCGCCGAACCAGACAAGTACGATCTCGCCGCGACAAACCAGAAGCGTACGATCTCGCCGCGACGCTCCAGAAGCGTACGAACCGAGGGGTACATCACTCCGATTCTGGGCGTACACCTACTTTTAGTCGATTTTTTTGGGCCGTCACTTTTTGACTTTTTTTGACTTTTTTTTTACTTTTATTTGACTTTTTTTTTACTTTTTGACCAAATTTATTTGACTTTTATGATTTTTTCCCTGCTATTTTTTTTAAATAAGGGAGAGTTGTAATTTTTGGGCTAGTAATAAGGTTTTTCCAAGACTTTTTGGTACTATTTATAGCATGAATCGAATAAGAAGAAAATTCGTAATCAGAGTACACCCCCTAAGTAAGAAAAACAAGGTATTTTCAGTATTTACGTTTTTTGGTTAAGAAATCCCATGAAATCCGATAATTTTTTTTTTCTCACTTCACCCACCACCCACCCCCCTTCCGATACAATCACAGTTCCGTAGCTTTTTGGCCCCTTACAGGCAGATATTGCACTCGCATGTTGACTTTCTGTTGACTTTTTCAGTGCCTTTTCTCTGACTTCTCGTCGACTTTCATTGACTTTTTTTTGACTTTATTTGACTTTTTTGACTTTTTATTTGACTTTTTGACTTTTTTTGACTTTTCAAATGACTTTTTGACTTTATCTTGACTTTTTTCTTGACTTTTTTAAGCGCGTACACCTACTTTTAAGACTGGTGTACCCCTCGGTACGAACTCATTTCGCCGCGGCGCGTGCACTCGGAGCTTTAGACGCCTCTTACTCGTAGCAGGCATGTCGCAGCAGTTTGGGCGACATTTCATTTTAATGGCAAAACAATAAAGATTAAAATAAGATGCCGCCCAAACTGCTGCGATATACCTGCGACGAGTAAGAGCTCCGAGTGCACGCGCCGCGGCGAAATGAGTTCGTACGCTTCTGGAGCGTCGCGGTGAGATCGTACTTTTCTGGTTTGTCGCGGCGAGATCGTACTTGTCTGGTTCGGCGCGGCGAGATCGTATTCTTCTCGTAGGACCCGTCGAATTGGTTTTTTACTTTGAAAGAAAGCATTAAATTTGACAAAAAATTCTAGAGAGTACTTCAAAAAGTACAGATAAGCTATTGTGAAAGGATTTC